GATGTCATCAGCATAGTCCAGATCCACGACTCTGCTCCCGGGTAGAAGCTCAACGCCGCAGCTCTGGGACCCTTCCAGTGCGTGAGGTAGGACATCGTCGATCGCAAAGTTGAACAGGAACGGCGAAATAGGACAACCTTTTCGCACTCCACTGGTAATGGGAAACGAAGTGTAAAGCCTTACACAAACTCTAACATTGCAAGTGGTGTGACTATACAGCTCTTTCAAGAGGATGACAAACTTGTCGGGATCGCCGTTCCGTAGCAGACAGTCCCACAGTGACGACCTATCTACTGAATCAACAGCTGTTCGTATTTCCAAAAACAGCACCATTGTTAGTCTTCGGTGGGTGAGGATGTTCGAGAATTTGACGCAACGTGAAAATTTGGTCGATGTAACCACGGCCAGAAGGAAAGCCAGCCTGTTCCTCACGACAAACTCTCGCAGGTAACTGAGAACCTACTCAGCAGAATGGACACAAAAAGTTTGGATGCGACACAGATAAATGACCGCGCAATATTTTGTATACCATTATCAACTCTGGCGTAGCCGTCAATGGCTTTTGCTGATCACTCAGATTTGTTTCAGCAGTGCCTGGCAAGAAAAACTGCGTAGATTCCTGTCATTCTTCGTTACTTAACTTGTTGGTTTCTTTAACATCGCTAGGTTAGTTTTAGCCAAGTTTGCTGATTTAATACAGTATTCCACGTAGAAGTGCGTTTAAGGCAATGAGCCTCAGGGAAACGATAAATGAATTTCAGATTTTGAGTACGCTGCGCAAGAGATAAACATGTGGGTTCTCTCTTCTACACGCTGACTTAAATGGTCTAGAAAAACGAGCTTCTAGTGCGAGCACACCAGTCACTTTTTTGAGGAAGAAAAAACGCGGACGCGTAAAAGACACGGTTGTAATTTGCGCACACGAGCAAGTCATGGTTCATTGGATAACACACATATACTCACACGCGAGTCAGGTGCAGCGGCTGACAGACCCTGGCTTGTGATAACAGCCAGATTAAGAGTCTCCAGCTCGATAGTGTTCTAGGCTCCGCTTCTCACGAAGTGGTCATCATGGCTGTATCGGTGTAGCAGAATCGTATCTTTGCTACTGCCTTTGGTGTTATTTCCAGGGGGTGCAGGCGATGGGCAAATTGGCTTTTCCTCTTTTGAACTCATAGGCTGTCATCGCAATTGGTCCAAATGGCGTCGGAGGGTACTCTCGTCTCCCAGCACCGCCCCCACTGTACCACCTATTTTTGATCTCGTAATCCCTCGCATCCCACATACACTCTATCGCCTGCCTCGATCAAAGGATCCCTCGTACACACATCGTAGCGTCACTTCATCGAAGACAAGTGTTCGACGACAGTTCGATTAAGATTGGGTTCAATCAGATCCAACCGAGTTCGCAGATGTCGCCCCAATAGAGATTCACATTGTGGATGATCCGCGGTAGTGTGTGTAATGCGGTATTGTAATATAAATTTCTCTAGGCGGGTTTGTAAAGTTCCGGACCGTCGTTTGATTGTCACAACCGCTCCCTCTCTCTCTCTCTCTGCCAAGCCATTGGATGAAGGGTGATATGGTGCCGACAGCTCGTGCTAGATTCCAATTCGAAGATAGAATTGTCCGAACTCGTCGCTGGTGAATACCGAGTCACTACACGAAACAACCGTAAATAGTACACCATGCATAGCAAAGATGTTCCGTAAGATGTGCACAGTGGTCGACCCAGTCATGGAAGTGCTTTCCAGAGCTTCGATCCATTTGGAATGTGCGTCCACTACGACCAGCAGCATGGAGAAGTCGATGGGTCTACAGACGTCACTATGTATTCTATCCCACAGACGAGAGACCCATTGCCATGGATTGTGACGATGGTTTAGTCTTGGAAGCTAGCACATAATTGTACAATTTTTTATATCTCCTGATCAACTCCAGTTCACTAGATATAGTTGCTTGCTAGTGTCTCCATCTTTGAATTTCTTTGGTGACCCATATGAGGTTCCATAGCATTGTTGGACGATGCCGTTTTGGGACAAGGATTCGATGGCTTAAAAGTGTGCGACCATCCTCGAGGCTTAATTCACCCTTTCGATTGTGATATTGTAGCGAAAACGACGCGGATGGTGGAGGCAGAGCGTGTATTGGCACAAGAACGTGCAACTGACAACTCACAAACCCGTACAAGTTTGGACCGTGTTTCCTTAACACGACGCAACGCGGATGTGGATTTGTGTGAGGGGCCATTCTAGGTGCCTACGAGGTTGGGCTTTGAGACAACCCTTCCATCTTTCCAGCCCGTATCTCCGCTTCGCTACATCCGATTCTGGACAGCCATGAGTCGTTCGAAAGCTCGCGATTTGCACTCCCGTGGCTGCAATATGTTCTTATACCTTCATCTAGCCATCCCGGCTAAACACATGGGATATGATCACACACCTTCGACAGTTCAGGGTCACTCCTTGCTACCGACTTTATCTCCGTTGCAGTCAATGGCGAATCATGCAACCATTGACTGCACCAGTAGGCTTGTTACTCGGAAGTGCCAGTAATGGAAGTTGACGTACTGATTCTCCTTCCAGGGAAAATATTTCAGCTGATACTGACAGCTAGCAAGGCTTTTGCGGTATCGCTTTTGACTCACCCAGAATTTCCAGCAGCGGCTTGTGGTCTGTGTGTATTTCAAATCTCTGTCAAAATAGGTATCGGTGAAAAGAGGCAACCCAAAATAAGACGGTTAATTTGGGAGTAGTTGCGCTTGGCTTGGAATAGGGTCCTAGAGGCAAATGCAACTGGTTTGTTTACTCCGTTTGCATCAGGTTGTAATAGTGCGGCTCCGAATACGTACAGTGATGTAACAGCGTCATGTACTTTTCGAGGTCAGTGGGCCAAAACTGATGGACTGGAATATGCACATTCGGCCTGGCGAAAAGTCGATTACTCCGTCTCAGACCGCACTCACTGAGCGTCTTTGCATAACAAGCAATGTAACGGTGTAAGAATGTGGCTGGTTGCCGAACAAACCATGACTAGTGATAGCACATTCCAAAGAATGACCTCAACTCGTGTTGATTCCCTGGTTGTGGTGCCTCAAGGATAGACCGAATTTTCTCCTCAATCGTCTTCAGCCCCACTGCACTAATGCGAATACCAATAATCCAAGTGGGGTGCCAAAAATACGCATTCTCCACCTTCCAGCCTCCAAGCATCGTCCTTCAGACGGTCCAGAACAACTCGCAGTTTGTAGATGTTGGTAAATCGTTGCCTCTTAAGTAGAATGTGCTCTAGTTACACTAAAGTGTTAGACAACCATGTTATGATGTTCGCTAAAAGTGGCCGGAGCCAAGCGGTTACCGAATAGTAGTCTGTTATAACTGAATAAGCCGCGATGGGTACCGATCGTCGTTACTGTGTTAGCTTCTTCGTGCAGTTTGTTAGGTCCGTTTACAACCTCAAAACATTTGTTTTTGGAAGTGCACTTTCATTTAACACACGGCAAAGTATGTTTAATACACCACTTGATCGACACGCAATCGCCAAAACAGCAGTTGCCCTCTATTCATTACCGCGCCGTTGCGTCAAAGCACATGACAACCATGGGCGACTGAGAAAGCAATTCAGCTCACACCCATTCAAAAACGGACATAAGTACGTGGCATCAAACACGACCGGACAACCGACGTTTACCTATTCATCCACGTGCTCAGACCTCGCCGCGGCCATCGTCGCAACCGTACCACATCTGACATGGACTTACAGGCATCATACAAGCATAAGCGTTAAGACTCACCTAAATGTATCTGTAGAATAGTAACATTTATATTAGTGTCTAATCTTTGGATTTTGTAACGAGTCGCGATTTAAGTTGCACTAATAAGTACAGGCGGCTGATAAGCGTGCGCGAGGTCAAAAGCTAAGAAATATATGCTGGTATCGAGCTAAGCGTTAAAATCCTCAATTTTCTTAATGGGGTGTTTTCCAGTCGGAATACTGCAACTGACGGCACATGCTCCTTTATTCGAGAAGCCAGCGCTAACAGTTCTGCCTTATGTAAATGTCTCGTAGTCACACACAAATTAGTATACACAGTGTGAGTTGGCCCCGATAGGCTGAGCTTTCTCTGTTGGAGGTTTGGGCCAATTTCGGATTCGGCTGATGATGACAACTTGTTCTGCATAGTAGCTTCCTTGCGTAGCCGAAATTATAGGCTTAGTTGTGTTTAGCATGATTAAACCACCCATAAAAGGTAACTCGATATACACTTTCCTCTTGGCTGCCATGAGGAGCAAGTCCTTTGGCCCACGCGGAATGATGGAATAACATTTACAGCCAAATAGTTGACATTGAGCATACTTAAAAAGTTAACGACGAACAGATATGTAGCAAAGATGAAGTGTGTAATGCCTCCGGTGACACTATTTGCGGAATAGGGTAGCAGTCATGTACAGAACACTGTTCGAGTCCACAACGGAGTTCCTTTATATTCAAATGTTACATATCACATTTGCTGAAGTGCACACTTGATTCAATGCCAATGAAATCGGTGAAACAGCAGTAACACATGGATAAGCTATACAGAACAGTTAATTGTGAACTCCTCCCCATCAAACACATGATTAGTACCCAACCAAACTCCATGAATTACACTGCCGTGCCACGCTCCGTTGTAGGTAGATCCCGTAAATTTGATTAAACTTAGGTTGGTTTTGTATGTTGGTAAAGCCGTCACTACTTTAACACTTTCATCCACCGTTCACTTACGCACGGAATCAACTAGCCAAAGTAGCTCCGCTATTTAGTTCGAAGCTTGATTTTACCATATGAAGCTCACAGAACACAGCAAAATCGGGCGGCATTAAGATGGTACTTCTCACATCAGATGATAATACTCTGGTGCAACGGTCGTTACGCTTATTCGCAATGATAATGTTTGTGAACGAATTGAAGGTATCATCTGTCTGAACAAACATTGGACTTGTCGTCAGCTATAACCCTAGGTTGTAAGTCCACTTTTGGATGTTTTTCAAACACTTCCGAGTGCGATTGTTTTACCCTTGTGCCTCTCCTTCAGCAACGCACCTACGGCGATAGGCAATTAGATACGATAGACTCTGTGGACGTCGGAAACCTGTCAATCTTGACTGTTGGCCGAGACCAGAGCACGTACGGCGGTGGTTGTCTCAATGCGTCCGTAACTGCCGGGCGTAATGGACATCCACCGGCCTTACTAGTAGACCGCGTACAAGGTGCTAAATCTACCATACCTACTGGACAAACAGTGAGTTTACCTGGTACAAACAGAAACCTGCATGACAGTGCATAGAGTAATCAAATATCACAATGGAATAGAGAGCAGGGAGTAAGATGAGTTGAATTCATTATACCTAGGCTTAATCTGATGCCCATCGTATATCCGATGAAGCACAAGACGGTTGTTTCGACCATTCGGAAACCTTCAGGGGCGCATTTTCTGTCATCTGCGACGTAAGGGAGTAGAACCCGAAACCCCACCCTAAGTGACAAAGACCATTGGGTGAGGGGAGGGGGACTGGCATGGGTAAATTCATAGCGGTGATGTATCGCGGCTGACGAGTGCTGAAAAGCTGTCCAGTGCTTCTCCGAGTGTGCCACGGCTGGCTGACCGAGTTTAGCAGCCACGAAAGATAATATCACGATTTGGACAAGAAATATGTCATGTAAGCTATGAAATAGAACGCAGCCCCCTACCAGCTGACCGAAACACAAGGAAAAACAGCGATTCATATTATGCACCGGTTGTTTAATTGAGAATCCTAGTAGAATGCGATAGCACGCAGACGAGCAAAAGAGGAAAAGGCAAATGGAGGAATCGTTGAGTCGGATAGCTCACGGCCGTTTGAGTATTCAGAGTATCCGAGTTGCGAGGAGACTCTTAAGTGAGTAGGTCAAAAAACAAGTACGGGTTACTCTATTGGCCAGTACAGCGACAGACCAACAGAAACCGTGACAAAAGGTGGAGAAGACGGAAATGAAGTATAACAAAAGCAGCAAAGTAACGATTTCATTCACAATGACTGTTGCGGGTCATCCGGGTGCAGTCGTTTCAAAATCACCTCCGGATCCTCGTAGCATGCGGCTGGTGTGCGCAAGTGCATTTCGTATTCGCACCGTGACGGCTCGGCGACTGCGATTATCTCGTTCCTCGGGCCACAGTGAACATACACCTGGAAGTACACGCGGCAAGCGGGACTTAATCGATAGCAGATATAAATTCGCCAAAGCGATAAAGAGGAAAAAGCTTGCATTCAAGTATTCAACAAATTCATTATCCGTCCTACATGGAAAAAGTACTTCATTGCTAGCGTTCCAAGCAGAAAATTGAGAGTTGTGAGGCAAGCAGAGGCAGTTGAAATAAAAATAACAACTTGGTCAAATACCGTGTACACAAACGTTGGATGAGCTGCAAAACATGAAATTTACAATAAAACCTACATATATTATGCAGAACTTGAGCATAATGATGCTCAATGGCATGCTTCAGTGCCCTGTCAAACGAGAGAGGGTACAATTCAAGTTGTTACATCATGCCTCTCTAGACATTCACACGAAACAGCTTAGATGAAGCACAAGTCTTGTCGGACTCCACTGGGTGTCCGAGGCTAACAGAACGTAGAGAAACGATGATGTTCTCCTGAGCAGTAACCGTCTAGGCGGAATCTATCCGCAAGTGTCTGCCTTCGAGCGGGATAGACAGGAGACATACATGTTGCGAGTCTATCGACAAGTGCAATGATGCGTGTTGAGGCACCAAATTAGACCGCTGATGAGCTTGGCGCGATAATATATGCGGGCGCGGAGGTCTGCGCATGTAGTGTATCTTGTAAACTAAGGTTTATTTATGACAAGCACACTTCCAACTCTGATTGAGTTGGTGATCTGTGACCATTGCCGATACGCAGGGGAAGTGGCGCGAATACAAAATTCTTTCATCATGGAGTTAGAAGTCAATCAACTGCTCGGAGCAGCATTGCCAAAAGCTACAAATTCGAAAACAAGGCCGCAATGGGACAGTGAAATCCAGGTAACAGAAGTGACCAAGCAACAAACAAGTTGGGATTTATCTGAGTCCACTCAATACGACCGAAACTCCGAGTGCACATGTATACAGAACGCACACAGATACAAGTGTGCATTGCGGCCACTTCAAATGGTGACAACTGAAAATGCGCTGCAATGTCGAAATGCTACGCTCCACGGCCATCCGCCTACCAGCTAGCTAGAGCAGTTACGTTGAAGAAATCAGCTGAGAATGGGTACAGATTTAAGGAACAGTCAAGCCTGTCTAAGGTGACCATTCAAGGGTCCGACAAAATGTGGTCGCCTTGGATACGTGGACGCCATGGACAGGTTCACACTTAGGGATATTACTCGCAGGACAAAACGTTGTGGGATTTTTTACCTGATCGCCATAGAAAGGTGGTCGCCATGGTAGGTTAGACTGTGGCACATTGTTCGCATTACAGACACTTCGTTTGGTCGTTGACAACCACAAATTTATACAAAACTCTAGGGATGGACGGCTGCCTGCCTCAGATACAAAACTTCTAGTATGCTGTTAACATTTTCCATCATGATTACAATCATCAACCGAGTCGGTAAAATAACAGCGTTGAGAGTAACAAGTGCTTGACGTAATTGCGGACAAGTAGTCTAACCAATTTCGCAATATGGATTAGACTGCGGCCTGTATTGGTCGCGCTGACGAAGCTTCTTTCCTTTGTACATGGTTATGATTTGTCAAAATCACCGCAAGATAGCAGTTGCAAAATTGTTCCGTCCGATAAGTTAGTTCTCAAACTCCAGATTCGTTATCCATGCAGATATTGATAAGGCCGCGCTTAGCAAAGGAAGGAACTATTGTCAATATGCCAAGCAATATATTAAAGTACCCAAGTCTGACGACCATGTATATATATATATATATATATATATATATATATATATATATATATGGTTTGCGGCACCCGGATTCGGATTTGCCTTTCACTGTGGCCGGCATCAGGAAGCCTGCGCCTACAGAGGGACCTTGGGGGGCTTGCGCTGCACCACCCACAGCTCCAATCACACACCCCATATCCAGTGTAAACCCGAAGGAATAAGACCGGAAGGCATGTGGATGGGAGCCACGTTTCATCAACAGAGTCGGCCCACACTCCTTCACAGGCAAACACAAGCACACTATATTTGCGGAATCAAGCGCACACAAGGCGGTGGCTGGACCGTACTGCGCTCCACACTGAGTGCACGGAACCGCTGTTCGAGCCTAGCACGGCCACAAGGACCGTGCACCCCGTCCCCTCCTGCAACGACCAACTGTCTCCTGGGGCCAGTATGAACGAGGTAGTGGGTAATAGACAGGTAGGCACCTCGTCAACATGCACATCAAGCGCAGCCACACGGGGGATATCAAGCAAGAGCCAATCACTTTGAAACGACAGGATGAAATAAAATAAATTCAATGATGCATACAGTTACATTGACATAACTCCTCATTAAATGAGCATAAAAAATAAATCAGCTACGAACAAATCCGCGATAAGTTAAAGACATCAGAAAATATATTTAAAGGAAATGCCACGAACGTGAAAATGTTATCGAAGTTAATTACAATTAGCTTAATAGAAGTGTGCAAATTTATAGAAGATAGTTCAGATAGACAGTAATATGAAAAAAGCATTAGGACAAACCGACTACCTGAAATAAAAAGACTCAGCATATAAGCACGCGGTTAGTAAATCGAATGCAACGCACCTACAAACGCTGCGCCAGCTCTGTCTACTTTCTCTGCACGAGTTGTCGTCATTTCGGTGTTGGCCCCGAGTGACTTCGCTCATGGTTCACTAAGCCTGTCTGACTCAGGCACTCGAGACCGCATGTGCCACAGCACCATGCGCTCGATGTCGATGGACTATAACCTATCGGCGCCTGTCGTCTCCGCGATTGCCGCTCCTTCTCGGCATGCACGATGGCTTTCTCTTGCACTTCGGCAACTGCCTTCGTGATCAGATCGCGCCATGTACGCCGATCAACCGCTCACGATTCCCATGACCTGCAATCAAGACTAGAACATGACAGGCTCACTGTGATCATGTCCTGGTAATGAAACTTCGGTTTCCTCACATGCCGATTCCTCAAACTCAGCTGACAATCTAATAGCTGATACGGTATCCGCGATAAATCCGTACGCCACACATGACCGAGTCACCTAAGTATGCAGTCCGTTGCATTTATTTCACTTCGGCACAACACCCGTGTCAGCAACTCTGTCGCCCAAACCGATGCGCAAAATCCGTCGCAAACACTGCTGATGGAACTGCTCGAGATATCGCACATCACGCCGGTAGATCGTCCATGTTTCACTGCCGTATAGAAGAACGGACAGCAGAACGGATTTTTACACCATCAGCTTCGTGCCGACGATAAGCTGATGGTTGCTCCACATTCGGTGCTCTAGCTTCCCGAATGCCGCCGCTGCGTTCGAGACGCGGATATGAAGCTCATTGTGAACCTGCTGGTCAGTCAACATCACACTCCCAAGGTAGCAGAAGCGGGAGTTGGTTTCCAATCCGTCATCACCAATGCTGACTCGCGGCAAAATGGTAGATTGCACCTCCGGTGAAGACTGAAACGGACAGACAGTTTTGTTTGTGTAGATGGGGAGCCCCAACATGGCCGCGGCCGAAATATTACACCTTCTCTCACTTCGTTGCATCGTTCCCCAAATAGTTGCATCCCACACGCATGAAGCTGCATCCCGTGCGTCAAGTGACACGTTGCACTTGTGCACTCGTAGGAGCCATAATCATGGACCGCGTTCGCGACGTAAGATCATGTGTTCGCCTTGCCAACATGAGTATAGCCATGTGCCGCAACTCATCCGCGCTGTGTGCAAACAACGCACAGTCGTCAGCAAACAGCAACATACGGATAGCTGTCTCACTAGGATTCTTGCACCGATGGATGTTTAGTAACCCACCACCAATACGGCGCTCCACACGAACAACGTAAGCACATGCGGCACCAAAAGCAAAAGACATCATTGCATGAAGATATATATTAAACAGCGCAGGAGCTAAGACAGTCTAGCTTCACACCAGAGGCAATTACAAAGTCAACCGAGGTCTCTCCACCCAGCTGCACCCTCGCCCGCATACCAATGTGCAGACATTCAAAGTTAAAAATTTACTCGGAGAATCAAACTTACCCAACATCAGCCCCAATGCCACGCGGTTCATCGTATCAAATGCCTTGGAGACATAAACAAAAACCGAGTACAAAGGCTGATGTCCTTCGCTACACTTCTCCTGCAACTGACGAGACACAAATACCTTACCTATGGAACTGCGACAAGAACGGAATCCACATTGCTCTTCCGCCACGGTAGGTTCCACAACTTGAATGAGGAGGACGTCGAGCAGGATTCGGGCAAGCACATTTCCCACACAACTCAGAAATTTGATGCCACGATAATCCGTGCAACATTGCTTGTGCCATTTGCCTCTGCACAGTAGTAACACAAGGGAATCCTTCAGCTCAGCAGGCACTTCCTCCTCAATCTACACGCGTTGCACCAAGTGGTGCAGCGCAGTCATCAACGCCGTGTTTCAATACTTCACGCGGGATCCTGTCGGCCCCTGAACACTTGTCGTTCCGCAGCTGAGCAAGTGCTCTCTGCGTCTCATCCAGTGTCGGCATGTCCGTCAGATTCGCCTTCACAACGTACTGTATCAGGCCGTTCAAAGTAGGCCAGTCGATCTCTGAACGGTTGGTTAAGAGACAATCAGCGATTTCGCCAGAGCTGCATTACCTCTGCAGTCTGTGTGCAGGCAGCGCCCAAAGGACTACCGAGTAGCTTCCTCAGCGGCTCCAACATAGGTCCATACACCGCCTTCAATGAGTCAAAGAATTCCTTGTATTGGCAGCGTTCGGCCTAGCGTTCCATCTGATTTGCCTTCTCCGTCCACCATGAATCTTTAATGCGACGGAGCTCGCGAGTCAGTCGCCGTCGATTTCTGCGAAACTGACTCTTCTTCCAAAGTCACTGGGGTCTGCCACATGTGCAGCAAATGCTGCATTCTTCTCGGACACCAATGCGCCACTCGTCGCATTGTCTCATCAAACCAATCAGGACGCTTACACTTTGAGCGCCCGATGGTCTCCTCGGCAGCAGCTGTCACCTGGTCGCGAATGTTGTGCCACAGGTCCCTCACTGGGGCTATGCAGTCCACTCTACACAGGCGTCAAGCCATCGCCTTCTCCAGCTCAATACGTTTCTCTACAGTACCGAGGGAGAGATAGATAAATTTACGCAGACTCACCGCGGGAGTACAATACATACAGTTACGAAACATGTACAGTTTGGTCCGAACCAATTTGTGATCAGTGCCACACTCAGTTCCACGCAGTGCACGTGTCATGCGCACTTCATGCATATCACACTGACGTAGGATGACATAGTCGAGCAGGTGAGCGTGACCACTCCGTGGGTGCATCCAAGTTGCTATATCACTCGCACTCAGTGCAAACCGAGTGTTCGTGATCACCAGGCCGTGAGTGGCACACAGTGAGTGCAGCCTGTCACCGTTCGCATTCGCTGAACCAATGCCATGTGGACCGATGACATCTGTTCACACCGATGCATCACGCCCAACGCGCGCGTTGAAATCACCAAGCAGAAATAGTCCGTCGCTCCTCGGCACAGACCGTATCACGGAGAATAGCTGAGGGTAGAATTGAGCACGCGTGTCATCAGGATAACAAATGGTCGGATGGTAAGTGCATATAAAGGTGGCAAACTTCCGAGTCGTAGGTGAACAGTCATCAGTCGCGCGCTGATGCCTGTTGGTTCACCCACCAGCTGGCCATGGAGGCGATGGGATATTGTAAATCCGACCCCATGATCACGTGGTGCTGAGTCGGTGTTGCCCACCCAGTAGAAGGTGTAGCCAGCACCTGCTTCATGCAACTTAGCTTGATCAGCGAGCCGGGTCCCACTGAGCGCCGCAATATCGATGAGGTAGCGCGCCAATTCTATCGCGACAAGTGCATTACGTCGCTCGGGGCGCTCACTCGAGTTACGGTCCAATAGTGTGCGCAGGTTCCAGCACCCCATGTTAAGTGCTTTGCGCGCAGGCATACAATTGCATGGGTGAGCACTCGCACGCGAGGTGGCGGTTGTGCTTCGGAGGTTTGCTTGAGGTACTCCACAAGGAGCCTTTCGCTCAATAGCCTGACCCATAAGGCAGTGGGTGATTTGTTTTGCTTGAGGGACTACGCCCGGAGCCTTTGGCTCAATAGCCTGACGCACAAGGCAGTGTGGAGCAGATGCAGTCCGGGAATGTGATTGAAGAGACAGATTGGGATCTGTTTAACGGCCGTCAAACGCAGTCTTCGATGTACTGGAACGATTCATATATGTTTTGTGACCGTAGTAGGATAAACCTGAGAACATGGCCAGACGCGGGAGAGTTTTGGCGGGCCTGCATCAAGTTGACCAGGGGCTGCCTGGCTTGAGGAGGAAAGTAGCAAACCATTGAACACGCGGAGGTGCCCTCCAAGCGTCCGAGACAATGCGTGGCCCTCGTGCTCTAGGCCAGTCAAGCTGTGAGCTTATAACCCGCAGACCTGTTGTCTCTCATGGCTAGGTTTTACGGGAAGAAGGCCATAGACCACTTGCTAACCTCCAAAAAGGATGGACTAGGATACTGGCAGGGCGCCCACACCTGACAGAACGACTTGGGTCCTCAGCCAAAGCGTTCGATTAAATGTACACCCGAAAGGCAGCAGGTCTAGCACATGGTCAGTTCACTGACTCATGCGGATTGATATCCTGGATGTTAACAGGGAGAAGGATGTAACCCAACTCTCCCCAGCGGTCGCCATGAGGCGCACAGGACAGCAGTAGCAGTAGTGGGTAGACCATCTATCAGGATCTAGCCACCACCAGCCTTAGCGCACCATAGGCTCTCCCGCCTTTTGACATAGGTACTATATTACGGACCCTTGTCAGGACTTATATTTACTACTTCTACACGTCTAGGCGAAAGTTAACATCTTAACCCCGTCTAATAAGGAACATAAAAACAAGACGATTAGAAAACAGAATCGGTAACAGAAAGTAAATCTGGCCCCATAGGTGATGTGGACTAACCTTGACAGATCGCGTTGGACCATTCCAACAAGATAACCCCTGTTTGAATAACATAACACCGTATTTATTTTCTTTCAAGATATCATCTTCGGCATATGTCCAACTGTCCCATTGGCCCAACGAAATACGATTGGAACCATGAGCGAGGTCGCTCTGGAGAATTTCTTTGAAAGCACAGAATTCGTAGGTATATTGCGCACTGTTGAACTTTAAACAATCAGGTAAATCGACCAGCATGTAAAACGCCTCTTCGGGACCATAGTCGATAGGGGTAGGTGGTGTTCTACAACATGTACAAAAGTAATGACCTCACCATGTGAATGAAATTCAAATTCAAGATCTCCAAGATGAAAACTCAAGCAAATAACATCAAGCAATATTCGCCGAAGTCACAGTAAAAGCGACTTAAACAAAGTTGAGGAAAATGAAGGATAGATGTCAAGGGAATAACTTTGAAATTCGCAGACAAGCGTTGCAAGCTACCAGCGTAAGAAAAAGTGCCAAAGCGCATTGATATTCCAAATGCGTTGTTGGAATGCGCACCAAAACACGAATGCGAACGGTCTTTCAGCTCCCGAGAACGTGGCGCCCCAAGTAGAGCAAGCGGTTCCGCTATCCTTTTCATGCGCCTCTGCCTTATAATCGCGGAAGAAGCCCCAAACTTAGATCAACAAGTAAGGTATCCGATTGGCAAACCACAGGTGTCAGAACGGCTGCTTGATAAGGCTGCGATCAGTATGCCTTAGCCAAAAGTAGCGGTGCAAGTTCAGGAAACAAGCGCGTCCCAAACTCCAAACGGAGGACAGCAGTACAATTTATTTGACGAATGAAGTAGTAACAATATTGCTCGGATACTGATGCGAGCAAAAAGCGTCCTTGACATTTTCTACCTGCAGTGACTAAAACACAGACTAGACAAGCAACACTGATTGTAATGCAACATCATTCGGACCGCCTCCATTGTCTCCCTAGGTGAATGGGCCCTGTGAAAATCCAAGGCGCCCCTCTCTACAACCGCAGCCAGAGAGCAGATGAAATGATTGACGGAGGTGAAACAAGCACTGCTATTAAAGACTTTTCAATCAGCTTGTACCTTGCCGTAAGGTGACCGTTAACACGCCTCTCCGATGCACTTACTTTCAATAGATATTGCTATTGGGTGACTTGAGAACAAACCCAGCAGATTGGGAGGTCAGGAGAACTCAGATACCTGTGCATTGGAAAGTGAGTGGTACATGGGGTCGTAAAAATGAGCTAGTTTGTGAATAGCTGTCGCATTTCCGCGGCCGCATAGTCAAGCTTCATCATCATCAGCGGTCAGAGCGAAATATAAAAAGGATGGCCTAATTTGATACAGAAAGTAAGATGAGTCAGTGAAAACAGACCGCTAATGATATCCCCTTCTTATCTTTGCAACTTTTCCTGTTACAGCCAACTTTGAAAATTCCGTCGTGTAGGAACGACTCGATCGCAGAATGAAGGCAGAACCAATATGAGGAATCTGCAGTTAGCTAGTCAGGTCACGTAACCAGGAATTAGTCTGCCTGTGTGTGTTCAAAAGGTTCACAGTTTGAATCGTGCAAGTAATACTAGGGGGTCGAACATCTGTGAAATAGGAGTTCCGATACTACGCAAAAAATAGGGGTTGCCTATCGCGACACTGTCACTATTAATCGCCTGGGTATTGCATGAAGAGGTCGGCGAACCTTCTAGAATACAAGTAGAGAACCCCTGCTAGTACATAGTGTAAGGAGGCTAGAGGGCCCACAGGGTGAGATCTAAAACGGAGCATGCAAGATAACAAATTTAAGAGGGTAAGGAAATAGATAAGTAGGAGCAGCGGACAAAGTCGCGTCCCATTCCAACTACTACGCGTCATTCAACCAGAAAGTCATTTGGCAGTGACGTGGTCAAACATAAAAACAAGGGAGGTCACCTGTCTCAAACAGCCCATCGCGAAGAGACTGGACCCTAACATAGTGTGATGATTTGTGTGTCTCAGAGATCCATTGAGCTATGCTGGGTAGTGCTTTTACACCTTCAGAGCCACTCATATTAGATTGGTTAATGTTTAGATACCAGACAAACTCAGTCCTCTGGTCCTCCAGATTGGGGGTTGGAATGAGGGTGACTCCTTACACCATAAATATGGACGCACTGTAGTCCAGTGCTCAAACCCCGCTGCCTTGCGGTAAGGTTTTGAAGCGAAGGCATTAGTTGAGAACCCTCATCGCTCTTCTGTCTAGACTTGGGCAACCTGACAGTATCATGCCCACGCAATTCAACACCATGACTTTTCCTTCCAACAGTTTTTTGATGACAAAAGACACTTTGTCAAACACTTTCGAATTACTTCCTCACTTGGAAAGAATAAACTAAACTCGAAATTGAATGTATTTGCTTGATTCGCAGTCGCTATTCACCAACGTTCCGCTGGAGGAAACCGTGGATAACCTGTGTGGATTTATCTCGCAAAACTATCAAACTATAGATTCCTATAGAAACGTTGAAGCAGATGTTTCGTTTGTGTACGAATAAAGTCAAATTGTACTCTCAAGGAAGAACGTATAAGCAAATAAACGGTGTGATGATGGGTAGTCGGTTGGGTCTTTTGCTATCAGACGTATTTATGAGCATGATTGAAGGGAAGTATGTTGATATAATAAGATCGGTAGTGCTGTACAAACAATATGTGGATGACATACTTCTAGTCATGGATTCAGATGATGACATTGTGTAGGCAACATCTACACTCAACCGTATGCACCCAAACCTCACTGTAACCTGTGAGGCTGAGCACGATCACCGTATCCCATAGCTCGAGGTTTTGCTCATACGAAGACGGGATGGTTCTATCAAGCGTTCAGTCTACCGGAAAGCAATGTGGACGGGCCAATAGCTACATTTTAAAAGCCTCTCATCAATACAACGTTCTCTGATCCGGACTCTGTTCCATCCAGCCAACCTAATTCGTACACTGGACACACTTGAAGCAGAAAGAGATTTTCTCTTCGACCTGTTGTAATCCAATGGGTAGGTTTTACATTTCATAAAGCGCGTCTGTGACACCACGAAGGGAAAACCCATGTTGATTGTCCAGAAGAAACCGGTTTTCATTGAGCTGCCGTTCAAAGGTGACCACATCATGAAAGTCACCACGAACGGATAAGTGCCTCCTTGAAAAAGGCGTATAGTGCGGCAGAATGGCGGTTGCTCACATCGACAAGACCATTGCTTATGTGCTCACTGAAGACACCGACGATGAAGCAGTGCATGTCCCACTATTTACAAATTTACCTGCAGCTGTGAAATAGTTATATTGGTCGCAATGAACGAAGTCAAGGCGTCAGGATCGATGAGCGCATCTCTAAATGGTTGCTTAACCGAATGGGATTTCAGACGGTGGAGGTGGGTGAATCCAGAAGCAGAACAGCTTCGGCAAACACGAGCATCTACTGAACACTGGCCACCGGGTCAACCCAAATGACTCATTCACTGTCCTCATGCATAACCAAAGGCTACACGTACCCAAGCTATTTGAAGTCATTGTACTCGATCGCGAGCGGCCGCCTCTATGCGTACAGAAGCAGTTGACAGTAACATAGTGCCTGCCGTCGTAGTGCCGCAGTAGTAGTTGGCCATCAGTTGAGCATCAATCGACCACATCTGACCTTCCTTGTGTTTAAATTGTTAGTTGCCTTGCACGTGATTGAGGAGAAGGCACGAAATGAGTCATCTCACAGCCTATGTCTTCTGATATTTCTGTGTAGATAAATAAAGTGAACTACTTATTGCAAACCTTTTAATACTCTAGCTTTTAGTGCTCTAGTCGCCCTAAATGCAGCATCGAGTAGGATGGAGAGAGGTTTGAATGCAAGTACTCAGGCTATCCCGTCTTCGTATTTCCCATCCTGCACTTTATCATACTGGGCGTCCCGCTCCAAGTTCACTTTTAGCTCTCCCATTTTCAATCTCCCAGTTCCTGGAACTCCCCCACTCTGCCTTAATAGTCGCTTGTCTTCTAGTTCCAACTCACATACAGTCGCAGGGCGTCGCCCCAATTCAGTCGACTAGTCCTTGTTCAACCAAGCGGACAACGTCAGTTCATCTATTTCTCTTTGGAGTCTTGGAGTCTCGCTCAGATTGGCATGCCTCAAAGTGTACATTTTGTTACGGATTAGTCAACAGGCAGCATTTGCCCGCACACTAGAGACCCTATCGATCGATATTTGATGTTTATGGGAAACCCGCCCGCAAGATTCGAGCTCGGTGCTTACTCTACTGTCCCCACATGGGACGCTGGCGGCACATACTTATTGCGCCTGTCTGCTAATGACGCAGCTTAAAGTGAGGGCCAAGCTGCGTCGGCAATGTTTTGAGTCTCCTGGCTGAAGCTGTCCTGATCGACTAGAACCCAGTTAACAGCGGTATGTGCGCCGTTAGACTGGCTGTCTCGTTCCAGGCTTCGAAGTACCTGTTTGTCATTGTGCACTAGGCCCCCACAAACTGCAACACTGATTCAGTGAAAGATGATTTCTATCACCAAACCGACGACCTTCGACACGGAAAAGTAGGGATACTGTGATATTTAGTAATAGTCTAAAAGCACAAGACGGAATATTGGCATCTGATGAGCTTCATCATGACGGCCAACAATGTGTAGATTCCCATAGCGATAAGGGTGAGCAGTTGCTACAACTGTGCGAAGATGCTCGTCTCTTTCTCGCGAGCATTAACCTTTGACAGAGCACTCGCACCCAGCATTTGGCGCAAATCAGAATCGGAGCAGCCATGCACATCGCGATCAGTAACCGCTGCACAGGCAGTGCCCAAAACTGTCGCAGGAGCGTGCCGAGCTAAGGGTGCGTTTCGGTGGACGTCTGCAACGTTCCTCTGAGCGCACTGGCACCAGCCAGCTGGCGTAGCCAGATGGTCTGAATGTGTACCAACGTACGCTGGCATCCGGGCTGAGTAAGCGACCATTGAACACCGTCGGATATCATTGACTGTAGTTCCACCAAACGTTACTATCAGCAGGTATGTCTTCACGTAGTAAATCACATTGCCAACGTAGACATTGGGGATTTACACAGTCTCTGGGACTTTTGGATGCTCGCTGACGTGTTCCGGCTGAATGTGAACACAATGAGACTTGTAACAATCTCGGGATAAAGCTGCGTGCTAGCCAGAAGAAGGACTGCGAAATCTGGTGGTCTCATCGTACATGCGAAATGGAAACAGCCGATGCCGTAGGTAATCATGGTAAGTTATTCCGTCTGATAC